CCAACTTTCAATATATAATAATGGGTAATGATGGATCACATCTTACTTTTTTCTGGTTGAAAATGTGTAGTTGTCCCCTTCCTCCTGTCTTCACTTACTTTATATTTGATTCCTCCTCATTTTTATATGGGTAATCATTATAAGTAATGACACTGTTAACAAAATATTACACCATGTTTAAGAGAGGAACTTTCAGTGTGTTGTTACCTAATCTGTCATATAATTCCCTTACAAACCCTAACTCCAATCCCTAAATTCCAAAAATGGCTCAAAACCTAAAAGTCACTGACAAAATGAAGACAGTGTTTGTTTTCTGTTTGGCTCACAAATCCTTCAAGAAGCAAAGGCAAAGTAAAACTCTCTCACCCTTCATCCAATCAGTTTGCTGGGTCTTGTATTTTATGCTGGGATAATATGGTGTTTTGAAGATATTATACAATCTTCTCCTTCTACATGATATGTTTTGTATTTTACTATGAGGATATACATATATATAGATATATAAAATGATAAATTTGACATTTTCTTGGACATAATGGACAAGAAAAAAGCTCCAAGTGGACTAGTGTTAAAAATATTATGGAGGGTAGTGACTAATTCAGACAAAATTTGAAAGTATAAATCACATTTACAGTGAAAATTTGTGTAAGGACTGGAATTTGTACAAGCACCAATATGAATCTTTTCAAAAATACATGTACTTTCTGAGTATATGCTAATGAAGATATTGAAATGAAGTTGAGAGTGCTTTGAGTAATATAATGACAAATAAGGTGACCATCAACTTCAATGTATTTATTATACATGTTCATGAAAAACATCATTGTGAATAATTTGAAAGAGATTTGTATTACAATATAAAATATTAGAATAAGACTGCTTAGTACTCATATCTTGTAAAGCAAAATAGAGTCTACTTGCTATCAGGTTGCTTCTGCCTTGACAGTTTCTACTTGATTACCAATGGCTGGAAGTGCTGCTATACAGGCAAAAACTTGTGTCATTTACCTGTTTTTTTTTTTTTAAGAAAAACTAAACTATAATATGGAAGTATTTATATATATAAACCAAAATAATCAGTTCATATTGATAAGTACATACTGACTTATATATCAAGTTCCTGACTAAAATAAGAAATAATTTAGTCTCAGTGCACAAAGATGATTCAAGAATACCCTGACTACTAGTAGATATATACTCTGTACATAAAAGATGGGTTTCAGTTTATATTTCGATCATGATGATGTAAGGCCATCAATGCGTTCTGTTGCAATTGGTTGGTCACCTACACCTTCATGGATTGTCCATGAGCACATTACTCTGTCGTTGCAATAAATGTTGTTTATAAGTCTAATGGACCCTGATAATCCATCAATTATATTCCTCTTACCATCTTATCATAAAGTAAGAGAGTTTCAAATCACTGTTTTTCTCCTTTCTTCTGTTCTCATTCCTCTTCTTCTTGGAAAAACGATAAACAGAAAGTTTCAAACGAAGAAAATTCTCTCTAGTTTTGTAATTATTTTACCCCCAATTCAGAAAGCTAACTTTATCACCACCTAATTTCTAGCTGAAGTTAAAATTTCCAATATGTGTCTCGGCATCATGTAAGAAAAAAAAATGGAAGTGCTGATTCACCCAAAACACAAGAATTGTCATGTACCTGGTTGGCTGTAGCTTAGGAAGATAAAAAGTGATATGCGATTGCAATGAAGTGTATCAGGTAGGGATAAAGTTGGTCCATCACCCCAAATATCTTTCAGTTTGTAGTGCGTGGACATATGCATTATAAGAGAACAAACAAAGATTTACCTTGAGAGAGAGGAAGAGCTGATCAACAAAGAAAATATGCAGAGATTCCTTGGTGCATTGTTGATTGATTTGAGTTTAAAAAAATAAAAAAGAAAATTGCTTTCACTTGGAAGTGACTTGATATTGAGGTTCTTAACTAAAGTCTTGTTGTGTGGGGCAAGACAGTGGACAACTATGGCTTCCTTGGAGAACTCACTTGGTAGTTTCCAATGTCTTGTAAAGCTCTTATTTATGTGATTGCATGAGTATAAGACTTTTCTGCATGAAGATGTTCTTCTTCTTCTTCTTCTTGTTTCTTTTTCTTCTTTTTGTCTTTAGCTCCAGAATGGTGATTGATCCTAACAAAAGGGAGAAATACAAGTTTTAAATCAAGTTGTAAGAATCACCATCTGACAAAACTAAGCTTAAATATACTTCAGTTTCTTCAGTCTGTTAGGCTAAACAGAATATACAGACATTCATGCGTACCATTAAGTGAAGCTTCACTAGAAAGTTTTAATACATGTGGATGAAAGTAGAAATCAGGATGAATCTGATGAAATCTGGTTTTCATGGATATGCAGGAGTTTTCTCTTGGATTTGTGAGGGAGAAGTCAATTTGGGTTCTTATTGTACACAAAGAACAATCATAGACATTGCAAACCTGCTGTTCCTTTCCATCTTCTATCTGCTCTTGCTTGTAGGTTGTGTCACAGAACATGAAAGTATCGGAAGCAATAATACAAGGAACTGGGCATTTGTCGGTGCTGCAATCTGTTGTGTCTTTACAGGTATTGCTTATACTGGTATAGGTTTATGGGAACTGCTGTTACATGGTCATGGAGGGTTCAATAATTTGGCCTGGGCAATATACTTTTTCAGAGGACTAGTTTGGATCTCTATTGTAATCTCCCTGCTAGTCAAAAGATCCAAATGGATCAAAATTCTTGTATCTATATGGTGGGTGTCATTTTCTTTGTTGGTTACAGCCCTCAACATTGAAATTTTGTTAAGAACACGTAGCATTCAAGTTTTTGACATGCTAACCTGGCCTGTAAACCTTCTGCTTCTCTTCTGTGCTTTTAGAAGCTTCAGTCATTTTTCTTTTGAACATATCAGGGAGAACAGTAGTCTATCTGAGCCTCTGTTAGTTGAAAAAACTGCAAGCAACAGCACAAAATTATCCCATGCTAATTTTCTCAGCAAATTGACATTTTCCTGGCTTAATCCCTTGCTTTCTTTGGGTTACACCAAACCTTTAGGACTCGAAGATATCCCTTCTCTAGTTAGCGAAGATGTGGCTGATGTAGCTTACCAAAAGTTTGCTAGAGAGTGGCATTCAATTTTGAGAAACAAAAGAACAGACAATACTGGGAACGTGGTCATTCAGGCCATAAGAAAAGTTTACTTGAAGGAGAATATAGTGATAGCAGTATGTGCTTTCTTCAGAACAATTGCTGTAGTAGTTCTTCCTCTTTTGCTCTATGCTTTTGTCAACTGTTCGAATGGAGATAAGGGAGATTTACATGAAGGTATCTTTATATTGGGGTGCCTAATTCTTTGCAAAATAGTTGAGTCATTGTCGCAGCGACATTGGTTTTTCAATTCAAGGAGGTCAGGAATGAGAATGAGATCTGCATTAATGGTGGCAGTGTATCAAAAGCAGCTCAAGCTTTCCAACTTGGGGAGGAGAAGGCACTCAACTGGAGAGATTGTCAACTACATTGCAGTTGATGCGTATCGAATGGGAGAATTCCTTTGGTGGTTCCATTCATTATGGAGCTTCACGTTGCAGCTTTTCTTATCTATTGGTGTGCTTGTTGGAGTAGTAGGTCTTGGTGCTGTTCCTGGTTTGCTCCCTATCTTCATCTGTGGACTCCTAAATGTGCCATTTGCGAAGATCTTAAAGAACTGTCAATGCCAACTCATGATAGCGCAAGACGAAAGACTTCGAGCAACCTCTGAAATCCTCAACAGTATGAAAATTATTAAGTTACAATCATGGGAAGAAAAATTCAAGAAGTCGATCGAATTACGACGCGCTAATGAATTTAAGTGGCTGACTAAAGCACAGTTTATAAGAGCTTATGGTGGTGTTGTGTACTGGATGTCCCCAACTGTCATATCCGCAATTATCTTCTTAGGATGTGTTCTCTTCAAGAGTGCTCCATTTAATGCTAGCACCATCTTCTCAGTTCTTGCTGCATTGAGGATCATGGGAGAGCCTTTCAGAGTGATACCCGAGGCTCTTTCTAATCTTATCCAAGTAAAAGTATCTTTTGATAGGATAAATGGTTTTTTGCTTGAGGATGAGCTAAGCAATGATGAAATAAGGAGAATCAAACTTGAGAAATCTGATACAAGCATTAACATAAAATCCGGTAACTTCAGTTGGGATCCACAAGTAAAGGTTCCAACTCTGAGAGAGATAAATTTAAAAATAGACTGGAGACAGAAAATTGCAGTCTGCGGATCAGTTGGGGCAGGAAAATCATCATTATTGGATGCTATACTCGGAGAGATTCCTAAAGTTTCAGGAACTGTAAGTTAATCAAACAATTAACAGGAGTTTCATGATGTTTTATTACTTTATGTTACTAATCTCAATCTTTTGGTACTTGAAACAGGTGAATGTATTTGGTTCCATTGCTTATGTTTCCCAGACTTCTTGGATCCAAAGTGGGACAGTTCGTGATAACATATTGTATGGAAAATCAATGGACGGTGAAAAGTATGAAAGAGCAATTAAAGCCTGTGCTTTGGAAAAGGATATTGACAGTTTTGACCATGGTGATCTCACGGAAATAGGTCAGAGAGGACTTAACTTGAGTGGAGGACAGAAGCAGAGGATTCAACTTGCTCGAGCTTTATATAACGATGCTGATATCTATCTCCTTGATGATCCTTTCAGTGCAGTGGATGCCCGTACAGCAGCCACTCTATTCAAGGTAAGACCAATAAAATCCAAATTTCTTCCAAAAGCATAAAATGCAAGAGTTTCAAATTCCTTGTAGCACCTTACTCATGTTGATCAATGCAATTCCAGGAGTACATCATGACTGCTCTAGAAAAGAAAACTGTCATTCTAGTGACTCATCAAGTGGAGTTTCTGACAGAAGTTGACAGAATTTTGGTAACAAGAATTTAGCTCAACATATTAACATGCATTCTATTCAAATATATAAATAGTTCACTCGTGCAATTTCTTATCATTAAGTTTTAATATATAATTTCAACTGCAAATTCGTTTCTGTATGCACATCAATTAATCAAGCAACAATATTGGTCTTTTATAGGTTATGGAGGGAGGAGAAATCACTCAAGCAGGAACCTATCAAGACCTGTTGATGGCTAGAACTGCATTTGAAGGGCTTGTAAATGCTCACAAAGATGCAATAACCGTAAAAAATTCTCCTGTAATAATTGAAAGCGAAGAAGAACATCGACAAACAGATATTGTTCAGCAAGAGGATGGCAACTCTGTTAGAGAGAACAGCAACCGGGATATTTTAATAAAAGGTCTGCCAGGAGTGCAATTAACAGAAGAAGAAGGAAAAGAGACTGGTGATAGTGGATGGAAGGCCTTCATTGATTATATGATTGTATCAAAAGGATCATTGCTTCTATGTTTCAGCTTATTGGGTCAAGCTGCTTTTGTTGCTCTTCAGGCTCTTTCAACTTACTGGCTAGCTTTTGGCATTGAAGTTCCTAAAATCAGTAGCGCCATGCTAATTGGTGTTTATTCTGCAATTTCAATGCTCGGTGCCCTTTTCACATATGTCAAGTCTAATCTTATTGCTCATCTAGGATTAAGAGCCTCCAAAACTTTCTTTTCCAGCTTCAACAATGCAATTTTTAAAGCTCCCATGCTTTTCTTCGACTCTACCCCAGTTGGGCGGATCTTGACCCGAGTAAGATTTCTCTTCTTGAACATTACTATCAGCTTGGAAGCTCAAATAGTTTATTTATTAATTCAGAGAAACAACTAATCTATGATAACCGCCAATTATTCAAGTGTCTTGAACTTAAAATCCACAATTTCTATTTGTAGGCTTCATCAGATTTAAGTGTTGTGGACTTTGATGTACCTTACTCAATTATCTTTGTGGCTGCTTCTGGCATGGAGATTGTAACAACTATTGGAATTATGGCCTCTGTCACATGGCAAGTTCTCATTGTAGCAATTCCAGCTATGATAGCAACAAAATATGTTCAGGTGCTTCCCTTAGACGTATTCCCTTAGACGTGTTTTTAGTTTAATTGCATCCTAGTAAAAGGAAATAGCTGATCATGGTACTCCTTTTGGCTAAAAGGACTATTATTTAGCCTCTGCAAGGGAGCTAATGAGGATCAATGGAACAACAAAAGCTCCAGTTATGAATTACACAGCTGAGACGTCACTTGGAGTGGTTACAATCCGAGCTTTCGACATGGTTGAGAGATTCTTCAAAAATTATTTAATGCTTGTTGACACAGATGCTTCGCTTTTCTTTCATTCAAATGCAGCCTTAGAGTGGCAAGTTTTGAGAATAGAGACACTGCAGAATCTGACTCTATGTACTGTTACTTTCCTCCTTGTTCTACTCCCTAGGGGCTTAGTACCTCCGGGTAAGACTAGCTCGCTACTACAGTATTCCTTCGATCCCTAGATCTTAATTAATCTACTGTAGAATTTAATTACAAATTCCATATGTGGTTCTTAATTAAACAAACTCTTTTCTTCTGTCAAATTCTAGAATGATGAGTTTCATTTCCTACTTGTCAAAGGTAGTAAATGAAGCGAGCTTGAATTAGGTATAAAATTGAGAAGAGAATCAAAATTTTATCCATTGTATTCTATTCTGATTCTAGAGAATTAACGCTAAACTAAATGTAACATTAATGTTTTTTTCTACTCACCTGCAGGGCTTGTGGGACTTTCTCTCTCTTATGCGTTTGCACTCAGTGGATCTCAAATTTTCTTTACTAGATGGTATTGTAACTTGTCAAACTACATTATTTCCGTCGAAAGAATCAAACAGTTCATGCACATAACACCAGAACCTCCAGCAGTTGTGGAAGACAGAAGGCCACCACCTTCATGGCCTTCCAAGGGTAGGATTGAGTTGCAAGAACTAAAGGTGAATACCTTAATTAACATAGTTTTCACATACAATTATGCAATTCCTCCAAAACAAGGGTATTTATTTTCTTTCAAATGCTGAAAGAAGGTATATGGAATGCTGAAGACTAGTTAAATGATCTTTTAGAGATAGCTTTTATTATTGATAATTAATTTCATCCACATTTCGTACTCAATGGTTTTCTCTTCTTCTTGGTGTCAGATAAGATATCGTCCAAATGCTCCATTAGTTCTGAAAGGAATCACTTGCACGTTTAAGGAAGGGACTAGAGTTGGCGTTGTGGGAAGAACGGGAAGTGGCAAAACTACACTAATTACTGCCTTGTTTCGCCTGGTAGAACCTCTTAGTGGTCACATTTTGATAGATGAAATTGATATATGCAGTATGGGTTTAAAGGATTTGAGAATGAAACTCAGTATCATCCCTCAAGAGCCAACCCTTTTCCGGGGCAGTGTTCGAACTAACTTAGATCCTCTAGGACTTTTCTCAGACGATGAAATATGGCAGGTTAGTGCAAAAACAAAGCAAGTACTCTATACTGTTTGAAGTTAAATATAACATTCTTAACAACTTACAAGATATCATATGCAGGCTTTAGAGAAGTGTCAGCTAAAGGACACAATTTGCAGCCTACCCAATAAATTAGATTCATCTGGTAAGTAAGTTGTGATACATGAAATGCTACAGGGTTAGGATTAGGAGACTGGAAACATAATGTTACTTCTAAAATTTCCTTAGCTATTGTATTGCATTTTATGTTTGAAACAATAAGATGCACTAAACTAACAGATCCTGTGGCATACATTTTATAAAACTGTTACCTGCTGCATTTTGGGTTGAAGGGTGGTCATCCTTTTCTGCTTCTTGTTATATCAACAGTGAGTGATGATGGTGAAAACTGGAGCGCTGGGCAGCGACAACTGTTTTGCCTCGGAAGAGTGCTGCTAAAAAGAAACAAAATTCTTGTACTAGATGAAGCAACAGCCTCAATTGACTCGGCAACTGATGCCATTCTACAGAGAGTTATCAAGCAGGAATTCTCACAGTGCACAATCATAACTGTAGCTCATAGAGTTCCAACTGTTATAGACAGTGATACGGTCATGGTCCTGTCATTTGGTATGCTGTCCTCTGTATATACAAACACAAACACACACTATATACACATACAGTGCCAAGTTCCAGTTTGAGGTACATCTGGCTTGCACTTTTATTATTTTGGTGCTACCTTATGGATTAGTAAGTCTTCAGTTGGTTTTATTTGCAGGCAAACTGGTGGAGTACGATGAGCCACTAAAGCTCATGGAGACTAATTCATCCTTCTCCAAGCTTGTAGCTGAATATTGGGCCAGTCGCAAAAGCAAATCTCATCAAAGTTTTGACAACTATCACTCCCATTCAGCTGATTTCAGTCAAAGCTAATGGTATGGATTCAATCTCGAGACAATTCATAAGCAATGCCAGAAAGTAATCATTAAACAGACTGCTAATGGCGTGCAGTTAACCTCAAAAGACAGAAAATAAACGACGAATAATTACAGGCTTTGCCAGGCATATCTTCTCTTGAACGTGTAGTAAAAGCATATATATATATATATATATATATATTATATGCACTATGCAGCATCGTGAGCGTCAAAATTCTGCTCTGTCATGTACTTCAAATTCTAGACCATCAAATAGAAAACATTGGTTTTACCATACATATTGCTGCTACGAAGATGGTGCAAGAACTCACCATGCTGAAAGATTGAGTAATTTGATCGAACAATTGGCGTGCGGAAAAATGAACAGACACAATTATACTCACACATAACTATACATATACATTCACACGTGTTAAGGGTAATTATATATACATCCTCATACACATTATACATAATATTCACTAATTCAGACAGCTTTACAGATTTAGTTTTTTAAGAACATATATGTACGTATGTATACGTACTCTCACATGGCAAAATATATACATATATTGACGCACGCAAATTCGCTCGTACAATTTATATTATATACATTACTATACCTTCGCACACAAAACATATATATACACCCCTACACACATATTTTCCAGTTTATATATATATATATTACAATTACATATTAATAAAGCACATGGTGATAGTCGAGTTCTTTTAAAACTCGGAGTTAGAGACCATATGAGACGCAGCGTAATTCTAGCGGAATGAATTGAAAACGGACTTGTATTTACATTCGCATTGTACATATATATGTATATCTCTATATCTCTATATATATCTATATATCATAATTAGGCAACCTTACACATGCAGTGCAATTATTCCGAAGTTTGAAACACGTAAACACTTGAACAGCTCTGAATTCAAAAGAGACAACCCTCTGCGTCAATATAACTCACACACACACACACATATATATATATAATCAGCTGGTCTTCGTTGACTGGAGGGGTCGGCTGGAAGACAGCAATCTTCGGTCGTTTATTACATGTATGCGAAGTTTCATATATATATATATATATATATATATATATGTTAAGATGTATATAATCGTGAGTAGTATTTATATGATATCAATGAGATGTATCCTAGTCTGAAACACGTGTTTATATAATGAGTATATTCCTGCCATCACCAAAATTTGTTCTCTTTTCCAGTTAAAAAAAAATCTGATGGAATATTCTTTTAATGTTGCAGGTTCTGAGGAAGGCAGACTCTGGAAGAAGGTGGAAGGCTGTGGCAAACAACGTGACTGGCATTTTAACAACTTACCCGAACATTCGTGTAATATTCCCTTTCGGTCAACCTTCACGAGCATGCTTTCCTTTTCTGATTTCTCCTAAATCCTTTCTGATATGTAGATATGTGTATATATATATGTATGTATGTATGTATTCAATCTCATTCATCTTCTTCTCTTGATTCTCTAGAAACAGAGTTTTCTTGTTTTTCTCAAGAAACTGCAATGGCGAAAATTATTATCGTTTTCGATTTCGATAAGACCATTATCGATTGCGATAGCGATAATTGGGTTGTTGATGAGTTGGGTTTCACTGATTTGTTCGATCAACTTCTTCCCACGATGCCCTGGAATTCTCTCATGGTGAGTTCCATCTCTGTTTCTCATCACCGTTTTGCTCTCTTCAATTTCTTTTCGTTGCCTGATTTTCTGTCCGACGATTTACAGGATACGATGATGAAAGAACTCCATTCCCGAGGAGTATCCATTGAAGACATTGCGGAGGTTCTACAACGGGCGCCGATTCATCCTCGGATCATTACAGCCATTAAATCAGCTCGTGCTTTAGGGTATGTTTATTTACGAGTGAAAGAAAGATCATTGTAGTCGTTGTCATATTCTGCGTATTAAAGAATATATATCTTACATGTTGAGAATATTCTCAGGTGCAATCTGAAAATTATAAGCGACGCCAACACTTTTTTCATCGACACAATCTTGAAGCATCACGGAATATGGGAATGCTTTTGTGAGATAAACACGAATCCGAGTTTTATTGATGAAGAAAGGAGGCTGAGGATT